GCTGTTGAAACTGATCAGCGGCTGATTCCAGGAAGCCGGGGGCAGAGCAACTCTGCCTAGGGCTTCCTGTAGTCAGCGCTGATCAGTTTCAGCAGCCGCTGAATCTGGAGCCAGTTCCGACTTACATACAGATTCAACTTAAGAACAAACCTATAGTCCCTATCTTGTACGTAACCCGGGGACTGCCTGTACATTTAGTTTTATTCTCTATTTGTGGTGTTTTATATAGTTTCTAGGCACTGGTTAGGTATTTCACTCTTCAGGTTCCCTTTAATTTTCATTTCACTAGCTTCCCCTTTTCTGTGTAGTTGAAGGTATCACCTCCCTATAAGGATATTAAATTACTTTACATTACATTATGGTTGCTATTATTTAGCCATAGAGCTATATTCCCCTCTTGGATCAGATCCTGTGCTCCACTTAGGATTGAATCAGATATTACCTCTCTCTTTGTGTGTTCCAGGACTAAGAAGCAGTTAATGGTGTCTAGAAATCCATACTTTCTATTAGAGCAGGGGTGGGGAACCTAAACCCCGGGGACTGGATGTTGGCCCCTGACTTTTCTGGATCTGGCCCCGGAGGCTTGGGGCTTTTCCCCATCATTGGAGAGCTCATGCTGGCACTCCGGCCCTCCTGCAATGCCCCTGTGGAGCTGGAACACACAAAATCTACTAGCTTGGGCTCCCCTAGGCACTGATGTGTATGGGGAATGTGGAGATTGTCTCTCCTTCTCAGTTGGGGGCCACTTCAGTGAGGATTTGGGGTTTTTTATCTCTCTCTTTTTTTTTTTTTTTTTTTGCATCTCACTTGTGTGTTGCCCCCAGCTGATTTTTCTGTGGGTCAGTGGTCCCTGACCTAACCAAGGTTCCCCATTACTGTATTAGAAGCAGGCCTAAACTAAAACTCTACATTTGAATAACCCTGGATCTCTGACATGTTCAAAGTATGAATCTGGATTCAGACCCCGAGTTTATAAATTGGGTCTTTGTCTGTATTCTCCTAATGAAGAGGACAGATTTTCTTGTGAATGTATACATTTTAAAAGTTCCACTGCCATATATTCAAAATAAAATAATTTAACCAAGACATGTACTTGTTTGTTTTTATTTCCATTAAAACTTTACATCTTTAAAAATGAGTTTTGTTACTGTGAGCCCCAAACCATCCCGCTTAATGCCAAATAGTAATTTATTAATAATTTTTCACATTTGGATTGCTGGGTTTTTCCTTTTTGGGGAGGGTGGTGTTTTGGTTTTTTGTTTCAGAGGTTTTACTTCTGAAAAAACCCCATTAATTTTAAATGCTCTAATGACATTTAAACTCATGCTTATGATGTAACCCTTGGAGTTTTTAATGTTATTCCAACTGTTATTTGAAAAATAAAAGTTGTTTTTGATTTTGCATCTGTTCAAGTGGTGTGCATGTCGATAGCTATCACTTTGTGATCTAATTTTTGCACAGTAAAAGGGCATTGATGTTACAACATAAAAAACTTCACAACCAAGTCAGCTGTGGTGTATCCTTTAGCAAAAGGATACATAGGTCCCGTACCTTTTACACCTTGTACAACTCATTTCCTCTTTTCAAATTTGCCTGTCTTTCTTTTCCTCTCTGTACAATTGTCTGAAAGTCCTATGTGCTGTAGAATGGATTTTAAAAATATTTTGGCTAGCATTATTCAAAATCATATTTTCTCTTTCAGTTTGTACATTCTGGTCTTAACAGTTTCCTTATTTGGCTGAAATTAACATTTTTTCCACATTCATCGGTATGTGATGTTGTCTTTCTGTCATTTTTAATTGTTATGCCTGATTTTCCTTTTAGAAGGTAGATTGTTGAAATTAAGGGGCAGGAGGTTTCTTTCCATGTTATTCTGAGATCCTTTAATGCAGAGGCATATTTTGCTTTTGTGAATTGCCTTTTTCCCCCCTCTTTCTTCATTACAGACTACTCTGGGAAGAGCTTTTTTTAACCAAAAAAAAAAAAAAAGCCACGCTTGACTGATAATGCATTGCTTTGGATGGTGAAACATTATGAAAGTTTAATTTTTAATTAAATCTGAAATACCAATTATAACTGAAAGAGATTTTAACCTGTTTCTTTTCAGACTGCCTGAAGTTACATTTTAGATGCTGAAATCACTGCACCTTAAAAACAAAAAGATTAAGCTGCACTGCATTCCTGTAAGTAAAAGCTTTTCCGGTACCTTTTGTCAGTATTTCTCTGAATACAGCACACACAATAAAAGTGTTAGCACAGTAACTGGACATGGATAAAGGTCAGAGTGCCCTTGGATGGGATTTACAAGTTTAAATGACATTTTTTTAAAGGAAGTTGTGCTAGGTCTTTACCAGGTTTTATGTCAAATCCCAAATTGCTAATTCTTTCTGCTGGCTGTTTCGAATTTTATTAGGAATGCTCTGTAGCTTTGTCCCATTTGACATACATTTTCTGTCATCCTGTCACCAAGGATTCCTGCACTTTGGTGCAGAATAATGGGAAGTAGAAGGTTCCTGATGGCATCAGAAATAGAATTCATTCTCCTTTGTGATGTCATTAGACATTTTTGTCCTTTGTTATAAGAATAATTGAAAGAAAGAGAAAGTTTCTGGTGACATCACAATAGTATTCATTTGCCTGAGGACATTGGATGGGATCAGAAATGCATAAATCTTTTGTGAATGGGCATATGTGTGTTCCCTGTTGTGCTAGTAAACAGTCAAAATAACGTTTCTTATGTTTTCGAATGAGAGATGAGGTTGTCTCTAAGAGTCCTATTAGTCCATAAATGCTTGTCAAAGTCTATATCAATCTGCTCTATGCTTATTTAGAAGCTGTTTTGTCAATGTACTCTAAAGAATAATTAGTAGTTGGAGGTTCAGTGCCTGAATCACAGGCAAGTGAATGACCAGACAATGTAAAAGATTCAGATGCTCTAAGTTTAAAAAGAAAAAAGAAACAAAACAAAATCTTAAAGGTGATAGGGGGAAAGGGATTTTAGTTGGGCAATAAAAGATTTGAAATACTAAAAAGCACAATCGATTTATTTTCTCATTTAAGATCAAAATATACATTTCGTAATGAAATCCAGAAGCTTCTTAATTCTTCTCAAGCGGTATCTTTGTTTAATAGCACAATGTGTTACAGTGTGTTAAGTGTTACATAAGGGGTTTTCACCCCCTTTTAACTCTAATGAATATACTTTGGAGACTAGCTGAAGGATACAGCATACTGCGGGTACATAATACCCCTTCCAGGAATGGAATGCCAGGCATGAGTCAGTGAGTCAGTTTGTGCCATTCCGGCACCAATCCACTGTGTTTTTACATTACTGGCAGGGGCATGCCATTGTTTTGTTAAGTACTAGGCATTAACTGCAGGCTGTGGCAAGTGAATTGGGTTTAAAATTTTCTGCTCGTAGTTCTTAACATCCTACCATAAGCAGTACCCTTGGCCACCATGGTCATCACTGTAACTCTGAGCCTATGATCTCAGTTAAAAATATTTATAGAATTAGTGGTACTAATGGTACAACACTTTGTGGGGGGCAGAGAGGATGGGCTGGGGGAAAACATTTTGGAATGCATGAACACTGAATCTAAAAGCCCTTTTGTAAATCCTTCTGTATTATAAAATAATAATCAAGAGAATTTTGCTTGGAATACATTAGACATTTTCTTAGCAAAAGTTAATAGCTCAATAAGTGAATTAGGGCTAGTTCTTTGAACCTTTGGGATACAGATGGTCACTGGGTTCTGCATGGAGCAGGGAGGCAGAGTACTGTGTAGCAGTGTATGGCCCTGGTGATTGTCCGCCAGCTGAGTGGACTATATCACTTGGAAAGTAGATCAAGAAATCAGTTATTAAGGAAAACAATTTTAAAGGTAAATGTGGATCTGACCTGCAGAAATAGAACATAAGTATCTACATTTTACTGATGTGGAAACTGAGGCAGAAAGGTTAAGTGATTTGCTACAGGTCACACAGCGAATCAGTGCTAGAATTGGGAATAGGACAAAGAATCCTGATTCCCCAGCCTTCTTTGTTCAACACAATTCAGTCTTTCCTTTTCCTCTATCAAACATTCCTAGCTAAACTTCTCCTTTATGGCATGCATTATCTTTTTCTCCAGGTTACTTCCATAATTCATTTTTCGGAAGTATTATGCCTGAAAACACCAAAATGCTCCTAGCCTCAGCATACAGCCCCACCTTGGAAATATATTAGGATCTCTGTGCTTTATTATTCTCACGCTGTGATGAGCATGGTGAAGGGACTTTTATAGTTGGATATGCAAATCATAACAATGAAATCTGGATATTACTGTTACATTTGGTGGCCATGTAGGCAGTAACATAAAACAATTATAATGTATAGTGATGTTTTGAAGTTTTGTGTTGTTTCTTACTGAAGTTCATTGTGAACAGTGGCTGCTAATTTCTGAGATCTGGGATGAGACCAATCCCAATATATGGCTTTCCTATAAATAGAGAACTACTTATTTAAAAAAAAATTAAAATTTGGAGACTGGAGAGATGATTCCCAGGCTATTTTTCCCTCCATTATCTTACTGTTCATAATGTGGATCATCTCCTCAGCTGGTGTAAATCATATACTCTGTTGACTTCCATGGAGTTTATGCCCATTTATGCAACTGATGGTCTGCCCAACAGTCACCTGAAAAGTGGGCGTTCTAAAGGAAGTACAGACATGATATTCAGAGGAAATGGCTGGGAGATTGAACCTGCAATGTGCTGACCACTCTGGGCCCAGTCCAGCAATGTGTTTAAATGTATACTTAATGGTGTACATTTATTCACTGAAGTCAAAGAGATTACTCACATACTTAACTTTAAGCACATGATTAACTACTTTGGTGTATCAGGGCTACACCTAAGAGGATCAAGCCCTTTATGAAGAGCAGTCTCTGTTCCAGGTACAGTAGACTTCCGATAATCCAGTCCCTTTGCGACCTAGGTGGTGCCAGATTATAGGATATGATGGAGTATCAGGAGACACTGCATACTCCCAACCCAATTCCCCCTCCCCGCCCCCAACCTTATGCTTGGGTCCCGGAGCTGCCAGTACAGACACGCGTCTCCCTCCAGGCACTGGGGCACGTGCACTGAGTGGTCAGCTTTTCAATCAGCTGGCCGGGATGCCATGCGCAACCCAATCCTCTTTCCCCTGCCCCTGCCCCTCCCCGGAGCCAAACACTTCTCCTCCCTGCTGTAATACGATCCCACTCCCCCACCCCAACCTTATGCTTGGGTCCCAGTACAGCCACACATCTCCTACCAGGCGCTGGGGCACGTGTGCTGAGCAGCCGGCTTTTCAATCAGCTGGCTGTGATGCCGTGAGTAACCCAATACCCCTCCCCTTCCCTTTCCCTGGAGCAAAACACTTCTCCACTCTGCTGTAACCCACTTGAGAGTGGCTGACCTGAGCAGTTCTGGGTTCTGTCAGGAGTGCTTGCCATTTTGATGCCGGACTATCGGGAATGCTGGACAATTGGTTGCTGGATTATTGGAGTTTTACTGTATTTGCTTTCCGTAAGCTTGAGCAGTAACGAAGTCAGATGTTTGCACAGAGGAAAGATGCTGTACATATGAACTAAAATTGTTCAAAACATGCACGGGTGTGAGATAAATTTTTCGAAGCAGTGTCTAGGGATTTAACCATGTTTCCCTTATCTGAGATTTATAAGAATTGCATACAGTAGATACATTTTTAATGTATGTGCTGCCTTGAAAAATTTCAGCTCATATGTGGCCTAGTGGTCTGAGTGCAGGATTAACAGCCAAGTGATCCTGTATTCTTATCCTGATGGAGACATGCATGGCATTGAACAGGTCACTTAACCTCTCTGGAGTTCACTTTTCATGTCCATTTTAAGGCATGGATAATACTGACATACCTATGTGAACACTTTAGTTAGTGCTTGTCAAGCTTTTAGAAGTGTTAATTGTTATTGTTATTATTGTTATTGTTAACAAATACCTTGTGTGCACAAAACACCTGGGATGGAGATATAGGCGCTCACTGGGGTGATCTTTCATAACTGCCTTGTGTCTTTGTTTTCTTCTGTCACTCAAAGGCATCAAGGCTAATTGTAATTTACAAAAGTACTTCCTATGTCACTCTCCTCACTGTTGATTATTTTATTGCAAACATCCTTTCTTTGTTTGTCTGTCTTCATACTTTCCTCCATGCTGAATTAACCTTGCTTACCAAACTTTATCCCCTCCTCTGTTCTGTACAGCAGAGACATTTGCATAGCCTCCAAATTACAAAGAACAAATTCATTTTGTCTATTAATTATGTTTGCTGATGATGTATGAAACAGACATAAGACAGTTTGAATTTTCGTAAGTTCAACTGAGCTTGCAGGCATAAGGAAATGAACTGTTAGAACCCAAACCAAAGTGATATGGATTGCAGGCATCCCAGAATGTCAGGGCTAAGAAGGGCCTCTTCCACTATAGGAGTGCTGGTAAAAGAAGAAAATATTTTGGAGCAATAGTCAACCCTAACGTATCCTTCAGGTTCTCCTTCACAGTGCATTGAGAATCATAGCACTTGGGGGACATGGGCATCTGCTCACCACTCTTGTAACGTACCGTTTTAACCAAAATTGTATGCCTGAGACGTGTTGTTTTCCCTGGCAGTTATTAGTTCCTGGGCTGAGAAGGTACAAGTCTGTTTTGTTGCATCTTCTGACCTAGGGTACAATTTTTGAAAGTGCATAAGTGACTTAGGAATCCAAGTTCCATTTGATTTCAGTTTAGACTCTTAAATGGGATTTAGGGACTTTTGAAAATTTTATCCTTCTGTGGGGTGGTATCCTTCAATTCTGTACTGAAGGGGCAGTGACAACTTCTATACCGCATTTCTGAGACAAAGATGGGGACGGTGTTAGTGTAGACGTTGAGGTCCAGATTTCTAGATAATGCCATTCTGCACAGTTTCACTGAATTTAGTGAACTAATGCTGATTTACACTACTGGGATATCTGGTCCTTAAACTTCAGATTAAATAAGAAAAATACAAAGTTACTTGTTTCTTCCTTAAAAATCATCTTATTGTAAGTCTTCTGATATGAGACATGGTCATAATTTATATGGCACAAATACAGAGGATGATCAGAAGAATAAATATGCATCAGGGCTTATGGTAATCCTTT